TCATCACCTTGTGCTCAACTGATCATGAGCCTTTCTGAATTTGGTTAGGTTAGGTCTTCAGTCTCATCAACATAAGAACTCTTTGGTTCAATGGGCTTCCTTTCTTTAATCACTACCCCAATTTTGCATCCCCTTTCCTGGGCTTACTGTTACTTTTTCTAACTTTGTTTTTTCCTTTCCCATATATCATCTATTCAAGGCCAAGCTTTCCCTCCCTTAATATACAGTTATCCCTTCCATATCTCGACTTTCCCCATTGTAATTTTAATATATTGCAGGTCAGTGAAAGAAACTAAATGGCAATTTTTTAAGGAGTTTTGCAGAAGCCACAAATGATACAGAAAAAATCTAGGAACTCAGAAATGCATAAAATATATGTATAGTATTGTATAATCTCGACCCAAGTTTTACAATAAAGTATTGTAAACACCCCATAATAGAAAAAGAAAAAATTCAGATTTCTTCTCTGGCACAAAGGGAGGGCCAAAAGTTCAGGAAGATTTTCAAGATCATGGGGGCACCATACCCCTAATCCCCATGATGCAAAAGGAATAACTGTAGTTAGCTAATTTGATAAGTGAATTTTTATTAATGTGTTAATTGGAACTCTAGGTACTTCTTAAGACCTTCCTTCAATTCCCAGATTATTGTATTATAACAAGGGTCTTCTTAAGACAATAAATTATTATTATTTGGCCTTTCTATTGCATTAACAGAAGCAGGATTGCACACTGGATGGAGAGTTGGCCTTGTAGTCAGGAAGAACTGGCTATGTGACCCTGGGCAAGTCATTTAACTTTTCAGTACTCTAGGCTGTTCTCTAAACCTAAAAGTTTCAGAAGAGGCAACAACATGCATTGGGAGAGGGAGTTTCCTCAGCTATGAGGTTGTTGTACAAGTTTACTGGGAAGTCATTTCACCTCTGCAATTAGTCAGTCAATTACTTAGTCAATAAGCATTTATATAGGCCTCACTTTCCTCATTTATAAAACTAGAGGCCTAGACCAGATGATCTTTAAAGTCTCTTCTAGCTCTGAATCCTCATGTTATTTTTACTACTACTTTTTCTCCCCTCTTATTCCCAAATCTCCCCAGGTATTGGTAGGATTGCCTTTATTTCTAGGTATTCTGTCTCCCCTTTTAAGGAAGGTGAAAGGGGCTGGTTACTCCTGTCAAAGAATAATCTCTTGTTTACAAAAAAATTACTTGGGATTTTCCATTAAGCTAGAACAAAATGGTGGTACTTCTTCTTTTGTGGACCTAAAAGCAGAAATAACTCTAGAGGGAAAGGAAGAACAGCATACTAACTGTTCAGTCAGGAGATTAATGACAAAGACTTTTGCAACCACTAGTTCTTCCTTTTTGGCATCCCTTTATCAACCAACCCAGGCTATTTACTATAGCACTCTATTACTGAAAAAAAAACCCACTAGCACAGACTCTAGTTTTTTTACTTGGGTGAAGGAAATAACACTGATATCAAGCATAACCTGACATTGAGAGAGAATAGAAATACTGTACATACATAAAAAACAGACTTTTCTCCTTATTTCCCAGCAGAACATTTATAGCAGCAGATGAATTATTTGATGTGTTCAGAAATCCAGTTAAGGAAATCTATCATTTCTGCCTACTTGCTTCCCTTGGAGACTTCAGCTTGACCATGAGGCATAGCATGTGCTAATAGCTGGATCTCTGATGTGGAAGTCATGCTGTATCCTACACTAACTTAATTAAAATCATTGGCTTACATGCTGAATTGTAATGTCATGAAGATAAAAATTCCCTTCAAAGATTTAGACGAACCTTCATGAGTATCATTTTCACTGGATTTTCTCTATGGCTTTAAGAGACCTGTGAGGCAGCATGGTATAATGGAAGGAATGATGGGTTTGGAATCAGAAGCTGGGGTTCAGATCCCAAGTACACCACTTACTTCATCTATGACCTTTGGCAAGTCACTGAAACTCTCTGGATCCCAGTTTCCTTGTCTGTAAAGTGAGAAGCTTGAACTCGGTGAACTCTAGGTTCTTTCTGGCTCTAAATCTATGATGATAAGACTTTTGACAAGGTCTTATTTATACTTTACCCAGGGAGTTCCTGAAGTTGGGGAAGCTTTAAGTGTTTCAACAACATTTTTCATTTTGATACCACCCTCTTGTAAGAAAGGTAAATCAAAAGTGTTTGAGATTCCCATGCTTACTTACTAATGCAGAAAGAGTATTCAGTTCCTTGGAGATTTTCCTTTCTGTGAGTCTTAGAAGAGCTTTTGATTATAATTTCACTAGGATTTATTAAGCTCCTGCTGTATGCCAGGTACTGTGCTAAACCCTGAAAGTTTCAAAGAAAAGAAAACAAACAAACAAGCAAACAAACAAACAAAAACCAATCCTTGCCCACAAGGAGCTCACAGTCTAAGGAGGTGGGGAGAGACAACTACAAATAACTATACAAACAATCAGTATCCAAGATAAATTGGGGGAATTTCAGAGAGAAGGCTATAGCATTATGGTGAATTAGGAAAGTCTTCTTGTAGAAGAAAATATTTTAGCTGGGACTTGAAGGAAGCTAAAGAAGTCAGGGAACTGGGAAGAGGAGGGAGAGAATTCCAGGTGTGAGGAACAGCCCATGAAAATGCATGGACCTGGGAGAATGGAATGTTGCGTTTGAGGAACAGCAAGGAGGACAGTGTCACTGGGTCAAACAGTACATGAGGAGTGGGAGAAGAAAGCAAAGTGTAAGAAAAATGGAAAGGTAGGAAGGGGCCAGGTTATGAAGGACTTTGATAGCTGAACAGAGGTTTTTATATTTGATTCTGGAGGAAATAGGTTTATACTTTGATAGGGTGGATCCCTTCTTGAAACCAGTTTTTAATGGAGAGTACACCCTGTAACAGTTTGTCAAGGTACCTAATCCTTGCCTGCTCACTATTGTAAAAATTAATGCTATGGAGACAAATGTATTATCTTCTTCAAACTTTAAATAAGTGAATGTATGATCTTTGAAGTTTTGTTTTAGTTTACCCAAAGTCATCACTAGCTACTAATTTTGCATAAAGTGAATTATTAAAAAATGAGATGACAGTGAATCACTTCTTTTTGGTCTAGAATTGTAATTTTATTGGATATTAGGCAGCTGAGTGTCGAAGTAGATGGAGCATTGGACCTGGAGTCAGGAAGACCTGAGTTCAAATTTGGTCTTGTACCCTCAGTAGCTGTGTGACCCTGGGCAAGTCACTTAACCTTTGTCTACCCCAGTTTCCTTATGTGAAAAATGGGGACAAATTAACACCTAACTCTCAGGATTATTGAAGAAAAATGAGATATTTGTAAAGTGCTCTGCAAATTGTAAAATGTTACATAAATGCTATTATTATGACTACTACTACTACTACTATTGCTACTGCTGCTGCTACTCCTCCTCCTCCTCCTCTTCCTATTACCACCCCCCCCCCCACTAATTTTGTTGGTATTGGGAGTTTGTGGTTTGGGAACTCTCTTCAGCAGTGTGTTCATCAACAACTAGCTGGTAATCTGTAGTCTTAGAGGGTTGCCCGGGGCACTAAGGGTTAAATGACTTGGCCATGGTTTTACACTTAGCTTGCTTCTGTGGCATGATGAACTAAGGTGTCCCTGACTCCAAGGTTGGCATTTTATCCACTACAATGTGCTGTCTCTTTGGGGCAATATCTGTGCTATTTTAATTATTTTTCAAGTAGATCAAAGTAATATAGAATAACAAAAAGATGAGAAAGAAAATGCTCAAGAAACTTACCAGATAGGATTCTGGGGTTGTTAGAGATGTTAATTGAACTGTCAAAAATGTATTATTTCATTTTCCAGGGGAAAAGGAATTGTGGACACAAGAAGAGACATTAGGGCAGGCCTATTGAATTTAGAAGGGCCCTACATGAAGTATGGAAAAAGAGAATTTACAATGTGATTAGCAAGAGTAATTAGTTCAAATAAACTAACAGAAGGGCTCCTCTCCTGTCCCACCCTATTTTTCCATAGATCCCCAAATGTTTATGTTGCTTGCCTTCCCACCGTGATGACTTTCATTATATAGATAGCCACTTGCAAAATTTAATGGATAAGAAAGAAATTTCAATTTAGCTTTCAGCACACGTGTCTAAAGAATGCACAGACAAATTTACACTGTGGGCTTTGTAAGAACACTTTGCATACTAACATATTAAACATGGTTGCTGACATTAAATGTAGGTTAAAGTGTTGTTCTATGCAACTTGGGGCTTTCTTGAGGGCAACTGTTACCACTTTGTTAAGACTTCTCTTGTTCCTTCCTTCTTTTCTTCATCCTCTGCCCTGGAGGTTACTTTTCCAAGTCAGAATTCTGACAGATCAACTTTCAGGCTCTTTGTTCATGGGGTGAAGCCTTTCAGTCAGTTCACTGAACACTTCAGAGTATTACAGAATTTTGTGCAAATGAATTTTCCTATGATGTCCTTCCATCACATTTTACAACCTGGAGCTGAATTTAATATATCCAGGCATGATGAGGCTAGAGCCCAGGTCTCTGCACATCTGAGATGCCAGCAGCAAAAAACAGAGTGAATGTGTGATTGTTTGTCATGATGGGGCTGGTCTGTGGAGATTTTCTCTCGGGGAAATCATCATGTCCATTTCTGGGCTGTTGATTTAGGTTCGGTGCCCCCTAACTACTCTTGATTGTTCTGTCCCTTAGTCTTTGAAAATCCTACAGAATTCCTGAAGAAGCAAGTTATATTTTTGTTCTCCTAATAACCTCCCTTTTATCAAGAAGGTCCTTTTTATGATGAATTCTTTTTCTTATTATGTGCCTAGCCAGCTGGCCTTTAAATGAACTCTGTCCTCTATCCCCCTCCCCTCTACTACCTTGTTACTGCAGTAATCAGCACCCAATTTCATAGAAGAACTATAAAAGAAAAGGGAACTTGAAACAGAAATTCCTGTTAAGGCTCATATATTTCAGCAACTGCTGCTCCAACAGTATCTTCCAAAGCCAATACTGACAAAGACCTATGGGGCATTTTTCTATTTCTGTCTTGAAGGAGATTTGCACCAATGAATTTCTGTGGCAGCTGAGGTTTGCTAAGATTTAGATGACCCCTTTCCCTTATCTAATGAATTCAGGCCTGGGAAACTTGCAAAGCTTTAGACTGACAAGGAACTAAGGGAGTCGATAGAGAATTGAAAGACAGCTGGCACAGGGTGAGTGTCTCTGAATGTCACTTCAGGAAGCTGCTAAGTTTTAAAGATGCAGGGCTATGGAAATTAAGATTCTTGCGTGAATATAGAGTCAAAATGATATCTCTGGTGGATTATCCATGCATGTGTGTTTATGTATAAAGTTTGTATAACATCATAAAATCTTAGAGCTTGGGGGGGCACTTTAAAGATCATTTAGTCCTACTCTCTAATGTTACAGATGAGGAAACTGAGACCTAGAAAGACCAAGTAGTCTGTCCAAAATCACAAAGCTAATCATGAAAGCCAGGAAACAATATAGTGACCTACCATGTGTGAAGCACTGTGCTTAGCACTTTGCAAACTTAGCACATTGCAAACATTTGATGGTATATGCTGTTATTATCCTCCTTTCACAGTTGGGGAAACGAAGCAAACAGGAGTTAAGTGACTTATTCGGGTATCCCAACTCCTAAGCCAAAGCTTTTTCTACTATGCTATGTTGTCTCTTAGCCTCTTATTCTGAGAGGTGGGGGTAAAGAAGGCTCTGCATTCCAGGAAGCTAAAAATGTTTTATTTGTTGTTTAAAAAAGAGTTTATTTATTGAAAGTATTCAGTGCACTTTTAGCAATGCTCAAAATCATTAGTTTGCGGAAGTAAACATAAGTCAGAATTCATCCGTGTGCAAGTAATATTTAAAAAAATATTCAATTAGAAAAGATCATTTTAATTTTAGATGATGTAATCATTTCAGGATTCCTGGAAAGGAAATTTCTTTGAAATGTTTTTCTCCCCAAATTTTCTTACTTCTCTCAGTCTGTGGGTCTTGACAAGTCATACAGATGATTTAGTACTTTGTTTTATTATGCAGCGAGAGGCATGTCAAGATGTTTCTGGGTATGTAATTGCACTTCAGTAAATTATTAGGTAGAGGCACCAAATGCTATTAGCTAGTAGGTGTGGTGTTTTCAAGCAATAAAATATCCCTCAGATTTTTAATTTTTGAACATCTCTTTTAAGCTCAGACAAAACCCCAAGCTAATGGCATTTATGACAAAGTTGAAGTTTTTATGGAGGGAAAGACTCTTCCGCATTTAAAATACAGTTGTGTGAATGGTAATTGCAGGGTTGATTACTATGATGAGAAATGGAATTTTTTGGCCACACTTTCAAAAGGCTTTACTATTGCCTCCCTTTTTTCATCCAGAAAAATTATTACCCAATCAATTTTAATTGTGCCTTGGATTGACTGTTTGTAATTGCCAAACCACTTTAAACTCATGCAAACAGTTAAAACAAATCTGTTTCATGAAGCGCTTCAGTATGCTACCAATGTCAATGTATAGTTAACTAACTGGAAATACTCTGTAGCAATGTTTTAATGCATCAAAAAGAAGATTATGTTACCTTATCATTTGCTACTTGTACTCACGGAAAGATGAACCTCTGAGTAGACTTCATTGTCTGGAAACCTATCCTAATTGCCAAGATAGAAGTACATCATAGGAGTGCATAGAGTGTGGGTCAGTGTAACACATGGTACATGCTTATAGCCAGTTTGCTGTTATTTATGCTAAATGGTATGACAGTACCACAAATTAGACATAAGCTTCTCAAGGCATAAAAATTTTATTAGTCAAAATGCAAACAATATACTCCTTTGAGAGCAAACTACCAACCTGGGTCTTAGAGGCTCCAATAAGTTTTTTTAATATCAGACTCATAACCAATTTCCCTCTCAGATAACCTGAAAATCTCTGGTCTCCCTCCAAGGTGATCATCTGGCAGATCTCCATCAATTAGTCAATCAGCACTGCTTCTGATTGAACATAGGCTGCTAAGCTAGCCTCAAGTGCAGAGGAGGAAGGAGCCAATTCATGACTTAGCAGCTAACTAATGGTTAGGATTTATGGTAGGTTTTTGATAACTCTAACTATGAGTGTTCCTAAATTGTTTACAACATAATTTGTTTGGCAGATTATCATGCGAACTATTGATAAGTTGTTTACAATATCTTTTCCCTCAGTAGTCTGTCTTATAAGAGGGCCCACATATGTTTATCAGTTGTTAAAGAATATATCCATTTTTGCTACGTCATACCACATAAGTGCTTATCTTATGACTGAAAAATAACTTTTCAAAAGTTGATTACAAGATGTAGGCTTAAAATCAAATGGAGTTAGTTATGATAAGTTGACAAACTTAATGCTACTATCTTATTAAGGTAATAAAACATTCTAACAACAGTCAGGTTGCCTGGGGCTGGTATGTCCAGGGCCAGCAAGTGTTACCATTGGCCCATGCTCTTTATATACCTATGATCTCCAATGATACAAAACCATATGCTATCAGTACTACCTTCTGGCTTCCTGTTGGGCTTCTTTTCAATGTTCTTTGCACTGTAGCATGGTGGTTAAGGTTAAGGTTAGTGTTTGAGTGCTGGATTTGTGTCAGAAAGCCTGGTTTTGAATCTGGTGTTTGCCACTTACTTCCTATGTAACCATGCGCAAGTGGTCACTTTTCTGGGCATCAATTTCTTTATTTGTAAAATGAGTGGATTAGACTAAGTGACTTTCATGGTCCCTTTCAACTTTAATCTGTCACCCTATAATCTTTAAGCATTCCTTAACTTCTCTATTTTTTGGTGAATTAAAAAAAAAGTCCTGATGGGCATTACTGGCAATAAAATAAAAAGGGATTTATAGGTTAGGTGGGAAGATTGAAGACCCCAGCTTCAGGAACAAAATGGGAAGAGAAAACTGAACCGGAGTGAAGGACTAGAGTTGGAATATAGACATAGGTGGAACATGAAAGATTAGAGACTAGTCAAAGGTTTGGCAAACTACTGCCCGCACGCCAAATGTGGCCCTCTGCCCATCATTGTATGGCCTATGAGCTAAGAATTCTTTTTACATTTAAAAATACATATTTAAAAGAGAAATTAGAGTTAGTACTGGTCAGACACCATGAAAATGAGAAGCTCTAGATGAAATCTTCATAGAGATAGAAGGTGGGAGACAGGCAGTTTCATAGATTATCAAATGAGGGAAGTAAGGGAAATCACTATATGTCTAAAAATATTGTTTTAAATCAAATAGCCCAAATTATAGTTTAATTTTATTTATCAAGAAAGTAGAAATGATCTACCTTAATTGACTAATAGCTGCTGCAACTCTCCAGGGTGAGAAGAAATTTGAAAAAGACTTAGGAAAGTGTTCTGAGTAAAGATGTGACAATGGACCAATTTTATGAGTTCAGTGAGTCCATTACATTTGATTCCACCAAAATAGTTGCTTATTGAACCTTTGGATCATAGGTTAAGATCTGGAAGAGACTTTAGAAGTTATCCAGTTAAATCCCCTCATTTTACACAGGAAGAAAATAGACTAAGAAATGAAGAGATTTCCTCAGTGGCCTATAGCTAGTACTTAACTGAACCAGAGATTCAAACCCAGGACTTATATCTTTAAATCCAGTGGTCCTTTCACAGCAGCCTACTTTTTGCCAAATATTTTGCCAAATATTAAAAGAAATCATTCTATAAAATCCTTTTTCAAAATTATTATTACTCATTAGACATGAAAGGTAAGTGTGGATTCTTGAAGTTTATTCTAGTAGAATTCAATCAGAATAGGTTTTACTGAACTGAACAGCTGAGAATACAATCCTAATGACACAGTAGACTAGGTCCAGCATAGGCAGATATAGAGAATCTCATTACCAGTAGGTTGGCTATTTGGCAATGAATTCTCTGGCTGAGATGATTTGCGAAACAGATAAAAATACAAAATATTCCTTGGTCCCATTCAGTCTCCTTCTGCTTCCATAGTGACAGTGACGAAGAATGGAAAAGGAAGCAGAGGATTTTAAAAATCACACAGATTTCAGATAATCTGTGACCAGTTTTAACAAATGGCATTCCAATAGCGAGAGCTTTGCTTAGCAGCTGCCAAGATGATGCATGTCAGAGGGGCATAGCCACATCCGTATTGAAGTTCTTACTATCAGTGAAACCCTAAGATATAAAGAAGTTGGAGCTAAATGAAAGAATGGCTCACAAACTCTTTGCGGAAAGATAAATGAAAGAGTTGGCTTTGTTTTGAGCCCAAAGACAACAAGAAATCAATTATTTGAAGGTTGGTGGTGTTGAATGCTGGATTTGGAGCTGGATTTAATTGTAAGGAAAATTTTTCTGTACAAATGTAAATGTATTTCTTCACAACTTATAAGCATTATGCTTAGTTTTAACCTCTCAAGTAAAGAATAACAAGTCTGAAAGGGACCTTAGAGATTGTCTTAATAAATCAACGTGCATTTATTAGACACCAACTGTGTGACAGGCACTGTGATGAGTCCTCGCGATACCAAGAAAAAAGCAAAATGGTCCCTGCCCTCAAGTAGTTTATAATCTAATGGGGAGAGACAGCATGTACATGTATAACCTACTGGATTTGGAATCAGAGGATCTGGCTTTGAATCCCTGACTCTATGTCTTACATGATCTTAGATGAGCATTTCAGGACTTGACTTATTCATTTGTAAAAAGAGCAGGTTGGATAAATTGATTGATTAATCAATAAGCATTCGAAGCTAGAATCTTCCTCTCTAAGGTTTACCTTGTATCTACTTTTCATGTGCAGTACAAGAAATATTCTAAGGCTCCTTTACATGCAGGTTAGTCTAGTTTATTCTTAATAGGTAATAATAATATCTAGCATTTATTATTATTGTTGTTGTTGTTTTGGCAAAGACATCTCATTTTATAGATGAGGAACTGAGGCAAACAGGGTTAAATGATTTTCCCAGGGTCACACCACTAGTAAATGTCTGAGGTCACATTTGAACTCAAGACAATGAGTCTTCCTCACTCCAGGCCTGGCATCCCCACTGTGCCACATAGGCTGCCCTTTAATGTTTGATAAGGGCTTTACAAATATTAACTCATTGTTTCCTCACATCAGTCATGGGAGGTAGGCACTATTATTATTCCTATTTTACAAATGAATTAGCTAAGGCAGCAGAGG